TAAATTCCAAGGAGTGGGATGGCTGGGTTGAATGGTAGGGTTATTTTCAGGTTTCTGAGGAATCTCCAGACTGACTTCCATAGTGGCTTGACCAGTTTGCATTCCCACCAACAGTGGGTTAGTGTCCCTTTTTCCCCACATCCTCTCCAGCATCTATTGTTGGTATATTTCTGAATGTGAGCCATTCTAACCGGGGTGAGGTGAAACCTCATTGTGGTTTTGATTTGCATTTCCCTGATTGCTAATGACCTTGAACATTTTTTCATGTGCCTGTTGGCCATTTGGATTTCCTCTTTTGAAAAATGTCTATTGAGGTTCTTGGCCCATCTCTTAAGTGGGTTGTTGGTTTTGTTTTTGTGGAGTTTCTTGATCTCTTTGTAGATTCTGGTTATTAACCCTTTATCTGTTGCATAGTTTGCAAATATTTTTACAAAAAATCAGCCAAACGAAGAGCTGGTTTTTTGAAAAAATAAACAAAATTGACACCCCATTGGCCCAACTAACTAAAAAAAGAAGATAAAAGACCCAAATCAATAAAATCAGAGATGAAAAAGGAAATGTAACAACAGACACCACAGAAATAAAAAGAATCATCAGAAATTACTACAAGGACTTGTATGCCAGCAAACAGGGAAACCTCTCAGAAATGGATAGATTCCTGGACACATGCAACCTGCCTAAATTGAACCAGGAAGACATAGAAAACCTAAACAGACCCATAACTGAGACAGAAATTGAAACAGTAATAAAGGCCCTCCCAACAAAGAAAAGCCCAGGACCAGATGGATTCACTGCTGAATTCTACCAGACGTTTAAAGAAGAACTAACTCCAATTCTTCTCAAACTATTCAGAACAATCGAAGAAGAGGGAGTCCTCCCAAATTCTTTCTATGAAGCCAGCATCACCTTAATTCCTAAGCCAGAGAAAGATGCAGCATTGAAAGAGAATTACAGACCAATATCCCTGATGAACATAGATGCAAAAATCCTCAATAAAATTCTCGCCAATAGAATGCAACAACACATCAGAAAGATCATCCACCAGACCAAGTGGGATTTATCCCTGGTATGCAGGGATGGTTTAATGTGCGCAAGACAATCAATGTGATACACCACATTAACAGACTGCAGAAGAAAAACCATATGATTATCTCAATAGATGCTGAGAAAGCATTTGATAAAATACAACACCCGTTCATGATGAAAACTCTAAGCAAACTGGGTTTGGAAGGAACATTCCTCAATACAATCAAAGCAATCTATGAAAAACCCACAGCCAACATCCTATTGAATGGGGAAAAGTTGGAAGCATTTCCACTGAGATCTGGTACCAGACAGGGATGCCCACTCTCACCACTGCTATTCAATATAGTTCTGGAGGTTCTAGCCAGAGCTATTAGGCAAGAAAAAGAAATTAAAGGGATACAAATTGGGAAGGAAGAACTCAAACTATCCCTCTTTGCAGATGACATGATTCTGTATTTAGGGGACCCAAAGAACTCTACTAAGAGACTATTGGAACTCATAGAAGAGTTTGGCAAAGTAGCAGGGTATAAAATCAATGCACAAAAATCAACAGCCTTTGTATACACAGACAATGCCATGGCTGAGGAAGAACTTCTAAGATCAATCCCATTCACAATAGCTACAAAAACAATCAAATACCTTGGAATAAACTTAACCAAGGACGTTAAAGATCTCTACGATGAAAATTACAAAACCTTAAAGAAAGAAATAGAAGAGGATACCAAGAAATGGAAAAATCTTCCATGCTCATGGATTGGAAGAATCAATATCATCAAAATGTCCATTCTCCCAAAAGCAATTTATAGATTCAATGCAATACCAATCAAGATACCGAAGACCTTCTTCTCAGATCTGGAAAAATTGGTGCTGAAATTTATATGGAGGCACAAGAGACCTCGAATAGCTAAAGCAATCTTGTACAACAAAAACAAAGCCGGAGGCATCACAATACCAGATTTCAGGACATACTACAGGGCAGTTGTAATCAAAACAGCATGGTACTGGTACAGAAACAGAAGGATAGACCAATGGAACAGAATTGAAATACCAGAAATCAACCCAAACATCTACAGCCAACTTATATTTGATCAAGGATCTAAAACTAATTCCTTGAGCAAGGACAGTCTATTCATAATGTGCTGGGAAAATTGGATTTCCACGTGCAGAATCATGAAGCAAGACCCCTACCTTACACCTTACACAAAAATCCACTCAACATGGATTAAAGACCTAAATATACGACCTGACACCATCAAGTTACTAGAGAACATTGGAGAAACCCTTCAAGTTATTGGCACAGGCAAAGAATTTCTGGAAAAGACCCGGGAGGCACAGGCAGTCAAAGCCAAAATCAACTATTGGGATTGCATCAAATTGAGAAGTTTCTGTACTGCAAAAGAAACAGTCAGGAGAGTGAACAGACAACCGACAGAATGGGAAAAAATATTTGTTTTGAATTTTTAAGTGTCCATCTTGTTTTGTTCTAGCCATGCTTTCATATCTTGAAATTTTCACTTAATGTAGGCTCAATCTTCTCTAATCCTTTTTGTTAAGTATTTGTAGTTGTTTTGTAATAATTCATTAATTTTTGTATACTATAGTTTTCCTAAGTATTTTTTCTAATGTCAGACACATCAATTCACCATTAGGAAGCACATCATTGAGAACTTGGTAATTGGCAAATAAAGTTTTCATATTTTGATATTAAGATGAAAATTTTATCCTTATATGAATAGTTTAGAGAATTTGTAATATTTGTGATGAAAGATTTTTCAGGATACTCTATTGTTTGACCACAAATAGTAAAAACCTTATTCAAAGAATGATATTGTTAAAAAAAAAATAGGTAGAGATGTGCAATTTGGGAGATGCTCGAGCTGACTTGCCCCAACCGGTAGAGTTAGAAACATACCAGGGGATTCCAATTCAATCCCATCAAGGTGGCATGTACCAATGCCATCTCACTAGTCCAAGTGATCAATTTCTGTTCACAATTGATCATAATGATAGGACTAAGAGCCAAAGGGATCACATAAACAAGACTAGTGTCTGCAAATACTAACTAATAGAATAAAAAAGGGAGAGAACGATCCAACATGGGAAGCGAGATACACAGCAGACTCATAGAATGACAGATGTCCTAAACAGCACTCTGGCCTCAGAATCAGCCCTTAAGGCATGCAGATCCGGCTGAAAATCCCATGAGAGTATTTCAGGCATAGAAAGCCAAGACACTCTGGCAAAAAAAAAAAAAAATGACCTAAATGAAAGATCTGTGAGTGAGATCCCAGTGGAAAGAACAGGTCATCAAAGAAGGAGGTACCTTTCTCTGAAGGGAGGAGAGAAATTCCACTCTGACTATGACCTTGTCTAAATATGATCAGAGTTGGTGAACTCAGGGGGCTTCCATAGCCTTGGCAACTCATGACAAGAGCCTAGGGTGATTACTGATGCCATAAACAAGAGTGTCAATTTGTTAAGTCAACAAGAGGAGTCATTGTGCACTTACTCCTCATGCAGGATCTCTGTCCTTAGTGTGCTGTACATTGAGATTTAATGCTATAACTGGTACTCAAACAGTATTTTTCACTTTGTGTTTCTGTGTGGGTGCAAACTGTTGAAATCTTTACTTAATATATGCTAAACTGATCTTCTGTATATAAAGAGAATTGAAAATGAATCTTGATAAGAATGGAAGGGGAGAGGGAGAGGGAAAGGGGAGGGTTTTGGGTGGGAGGGAAGTTATGGGTGGGGAAGCCATTGTAATCCATAAGCTGTACTTTGGAAATTTATATTCATTAAATAAAAGATAAAAAAATAATAGGTGGATGCTTGGGCTGGAGGTTAAGATGCTTACATCCCATATAGGAGTCCCTGGGTTTGTTCAATAATTGGCTTTGGCTCCCAATCCAGTTCCCTGATAATATAGACCCTGAGAGGCAGCAGTGATGGCTCAGGTAGTGAGTTCTCAGCTCTTGGCTCTGGCCTTGGCATTTATGAACATCTGGGGAATAACCCAATGGATGGGAGCTCTCTCTATTTGTTCATCTCTCTTTATATCTATGGTTCTCAGATGAATAAATTTTTATAATAATAGAAATTCCTGGCCGGCGCTGTGGCTCAATAGGCTAATCCTCTGCCTTGCGGCGCCGGCACACCGGGTTCTAGTCCCGGTCGGGGTGCCGGATTCTGTCCCAGTTGCCCCTCTTCCAGGCCAGCTCTCTGCTGTGGCCAGGGAGTGCAGTGGAGGATGGCCCAAGTGCTTGGGCTCTGCACTCCATGGGAGACCAGGAGAAGCTCCTGGCTCCTGGCTTTGGATCAGCTCCATGAGCCGGCCACAGCACGTTGGCCGTGGCAGCAAAGGAAGACCTTTCTCTCTGTCTCTCTCTCTCACTGTCCACTCTGCCTGTCAAAAAAAAAAAAAAAAAAAAGAAAGAAAGAAAGAAAGAAAGAAAGAAAGAAAGAAAGAAATTCCTTGTATGTTGAGTTTGCAGGTGCCATCTTTTCAGATTTCATGTTTCCTTTGTGTCATTCAAAATACATTCCTGGCCATCCCCTAAAAGAGAAGCATGAAGACAGTGACCTCAATTATCTTTGCCTTTCCCCTTTCCTGTATAAATGCAAAGCCTTTCAAAAACATAAAATTATAATCTTTATATATTTCATTCGGTGATAAATGACCGGTCTCACAGATCTGACCACTTCAACCTATGAGTCAACAAGCATGTGCCCCAGTGTTGAAATCCTTAACATCAGTGCTTCAATCAGCTCTGAAACTTTCGTTGCCCAGTGGTCATACTAAACCCTCCTCTGTGACAAAACTATTGCAACTGTATGTCAGTCAAGTTTGCCTTAGGTATTGCACATCAATTTCATCTTCATTCCTGCAGTTAGATAGAAAATATTTTTTTGCTCTTCTTTTTGATTCACCTGACCTGGTTTATTCTGTTTGCTCTTGCATTCTCTCCCCTCAGGTGTTTGCCAAACTACTGTGAACATGGAGGGAGCTGCTCCCAGTCCTGGTCCACCTTCTATTGCAACTGCAGTGACACAGGTTACACCGGTGCCACCTGCCATAACTGTGAGTAGATACCAGTGTTAGTATCAAGATGCATTCAGCATGCAGCGGGCACTTTTTGTTAATTCATTGAATGTGTGTTTCTTGAGAGGATAGTTTATGCTTAATGCTAGTGGGCATGAAGGATTCAGGATACAAGCTATATGCTTTTGGAGTCCATGGTCCACCATGGATGATGGAAATAGAGTTGTATAATCATTGAGAGAGAGGCAAGAAAATGTGCTACATAGAGACAAGGGGTAGCTATACAGTCAATGATATTGTGTTGATATTATGCTGTTGGAATGAGTAACTTAATATCTCAGTGGTTACTTGTAGCCATGTCAATCCGATATTGCATACCTGTCACACATTGATAAGAAGTCTTCTCCCATAATGCCCTCATTCTTTTTTTTTTTTGACAGGCAGAGTGGATAGTGAGAAAGAGAGAGACAGAGAGAAAGGTCTTCCATTTCCATTGGTTCACCTTCCAATGGCCTCCGTGGCCAGCGCGCTGCGGCCGGCGCATCGCGCTGATCCAAAGCCAGGAGCCAGGTGCTTATCCTGGTCTCCCATGGGGTGCAGGGCCCAAGCACTTGGGCCATCCTCCACTGCACTCCCGGGCCATAGCAGAGAGCTGGCCTGGAAGAGGGGCCACTGGGACAGAATCCGGTGCCCCAACCGGGACTAGAACCTGGTGTGCCGACGCCGCAAGGCAGAGGATTAGCCTAGTGAGCCGCGGCGCCGGCCTATAATGCCCTCCTTCTGAGATGGTGACAGAGATTCCATCATCTGCAATGTTGCCATTGTAGGGAGAAGAAAGTACAAGGGAACATGTGCTAGCTCTTAAAATTTCTGCTGGGATGTGGAAAATGCTACTTCTTGTCACAATCCATTGGGCAAATAAAGTCACATGGGTACATCCAAATTCCCGGAAGGGGGAACTGCAGTCTTAGCATGTGATGCATGACAACAGCACCTGAGTATTGGTGAGAGGTATGGATGAGCACCTGTCAAATTGGTGACCTGGGGGATTTTAAATAAAGATATAGTAAGAAAACAAAAAGAATGCTTAGAAGTAAAGAAACAAATTGAAAGTCAAAACATCAGTCTTTTGAGGAAAGTATTATTTTTAAAGATTTATTTATTTATTCGAAAGGCAGAGTTACAGAGAGGTAGAGGCGGAAGTGGGAAAGAGGTCTTCCATCCACTGATTCACTGCTCAAATGGCAGCAAAGGCCAGAGCTGGGAAGACCTGAAGCCAGGAGCCAGGAACTTCTTCCAGGTTTCCTATGTGAGTGCAGTGGCCGAAGGACCTGTGACATCTTCTACTACTTTCTCAGGTGCATTAGCAGGGATCTGGATCAGAAGAGGAGCAGCCAGAACTAGAACAGCACCCATATGGGATGCAGGCAGTGCAGGTGGCAGCTTAACCTACTATGCCTCAGCACCGGCCCCTCTGCAAGTATTTCTGCATGGCTGAAGGGTGCTGATGGTAATGAGCAGACAGAATGACACAGCATAGCATATACAAGGGATAAAGGGTGAGACCACTAAACAAAGACATGGGATAAAGTAGAGAAATGTTTCCATTTAGAGACTGAATGCCAACTGTGCAAAATGGACTCTATGTATAAACAAGTGAGATGGATCTGAAGGTGTGGGATGGAGATCTAGGTGACTTCCTGGAAATATGAAATGTGAAGTGTCTTAGAAAGTAGAGGGATGGGAGAAGGATTCTCTAGAAGATGAAGCAACAAATCCAATAGGCAGTCATTTAGACTAGTGCTACAGATGCCCACATCCCACATTGAAATCCTGGATTCAATTCCCTGCTCTGGCTCCTGAATCTAGCTACCTGTGAGAGCAGATCCCGGGAGGCAGCAGCAATGGTTCAAGTAGTTGAGTTGCTGCCACTTTCATGGGAGATTTAGATTGCATCTCCGGCTCCTGGCTTTGGCCCCAGCCCAGGCCCAGTCACTCTGGGCACGTGGGGAGTAAACCAGCAGATGGGAGCTCTCTGTGACTGTCTTTCTCTACATCTCAAATTAATAAATCATTCAAAGACATAAAAGTATAGCCAAGCTGAAGCCTGAAGTTATTCTGAGGAATACAGCTGGGTTCTCATTTGGACAGAGCTCACTGGGTTTCGTCTATTCCTGCTGCTTCTGGGCTGGCACTCAGGGCTGCAGAATGGCAACTGTAGGAACCAGCTGGGCAAGGATCTGGCCCTAATCAGAGATGAACAATGTTGACACCCCTTTACTGAGGACATCTCAGCTAGTGCGCAGCTTCCTGTATGCCCTGGAACATGGCAGTCACCAGTGATACCCACAGAGGGGGCTAACAAAATCAGAGAAGAAATAGCTCAGTGATGATCCTGGGGTGATATTGTTATTGTTTATAGTTGCCTGGGAAAACAAAAACACTGCCATGTTCTGATAAAATATCTTATTTAAATTTTTCTATTTAAAATTTTGGAACAGTGAAGAGACTGGAATGAAAGAAATTGGATTTAAATTTTACTGCATTCTCATACTTGAATAAGTACATAATTTTACCACTTCAAAGCTCCCTATATTCACAGATCCTTTGAGGGAAAACTAATGAATTCTTGTAGGCCCATCATATGCTAAAATTACGTGTTTCTATGTAAGATTCACAACAAATATTAATCTATAAATTTTGTCTGGTCCCAGAAATATCCCCAAATAGCCAAGGACAACATATATTTGCATAGAAACATCGTAGGGCACACGTAGGGATTTTCAAATTGTAATGTCATTGCTTTTGCAAGAAGCTCAGAGGGAACCAGAATGATCATCAATTTAATAGTGAGAGAAGAGAACCTGAAAGAAAGCTAAATCAAAGCAACCCGAATTTTAGCTAAATCACATTGCAACATTTCTGCGACTGTTAAAGCTCATGCTGCTCACTTCCTTTTAATGTAATTTAGCAATTTTTGGAGGAGTTCATCTGTACCAACACTGTTCTCCTTTAATTTACTCCATCCATCAGGCTAAAAATAGAAGATTTCTAGCTTTTGAAAAACAAGTGTGAAGTTGAAAATAAGTGGAGGTGAGGTGTTGACTTTTAAAGGAACACTGTCAAGGCTGATGAGCAGCAAACTCAACACACAAAGCCTTAAAAATATCATTCTTTTCTTTAACACCTTCCAATTCCTTTTTCTGTAAAATTGCTCAGTGCCTACCCTGCAGTCTATGACTCTATGAAACACCATCTTCTCTTCTGGGCACCCAGCCAGAACAAATCTGTGGTGCTTGGGTGTCTGTGACGTTTGGCAAGCACACCTTGGATGCCCGAGTGATTCAAGAATCTGTCCTCCCCCTAACTAGTCTCCCTGTCTCCCACTTGGGTGAGAAGCCTTGTTTTGAGTCACTTTGTGAACGAGTATATGCCCCACATGCAAGTGGAAGCTGCCGGAATGCAGAGGGTGGCACAGGCATGTCCTTAGGCAACAACAAACACAGACTAGTCCACAATTCTGCTCTGGTGGCAATGGAAGAATCAATGGTGTGTTGGGGCATGTGTTATTGGATGATCAGAAGGATCCTTCCATGATCAGAAGGACCAGATTGACCAAACATTTATAGTGAGATTTGAAAAGGAGTTGCCTGAGTGTTCTCTTAGTTGCTTTTAAATTCTTCAGGATTGGTTTTGCTTTTTTCATTGTTGGTGCTCTCTAGTAGGGCTAACTCAGAACTGACAAGATTCACTTCTTTCTGCTCAACTTTTGTAGGTAAGAGAGATTTGGGTGAGGTAGAGGTCCAGTGGATTCTCTAAGGAATAGAAAAATGGAAGTTGTCGAAGTCTTTAGACATGGCAGGTTGCTGTTGAGAGTAAAGATATCTACATTTTATCTCTTTTTTCCTTCTTATCTGATGATGCATACTGAACACAGGTATTCAAGTTAGGTCACAATTCAAACACACTTTGAAGAAAATCATCTGTAAAAGAAAAATGGGATGAGTGTGTGGGAAATTCCTGTTCTACCTCTAATAGTTTGTTCATCTGCAGAGGAAGCCTGAGTCCATCACCTATCCCATCAAGCCCCACTAGATACTGTTATACCATGTGTATTTCTCCTTGTAGACAGCGATTCTCCCTATGGTTGCCTTCTATTCTGCAGAGAAGAAGTTGAAGGCTCATTGTCTAACCCTATTTGTGAAAGAAAGAAAAAGAAAAAGAAAGAAAGAAAGAAAGAGAGAGAGAGAAAGAAAGAAAGAAAAAGAAGTTGAAGGCAAGCAGTGTTTGCAGTCCACATTAAGCCCTGGCAACCCAGTCAATGTTCAGAACCTTCAAATCACCAGAAAGAGTTGCCATGGTTATTGTCTCTACACGATGTGTGAGGTCAAGAGGTTATAAAATTGAAGCTTAAATTCTCAGTCTTGAGAATATAACTTGGCCATGATATTTTGTGTCCATGGTATTAGGTTTTTAAATTAAGAATGACTAAAAAGAAGAGGTTTTGGTTATAGAAGCTTAGTGTATAACTACATATCTATGAGGACATTAACACCCACAACAGTTACTTAACTTTTTCAAGGTCACATAACCAGTAAATGGTAGAGTTAGGAATTCACTTAAGGGAGTATGTCTGAAGATGCCAGATGCTTAAGCCCTATCTCTTTTTTTTCCCTTAAGATTTATTTATTCATTTGAGAGGCAGAGGAGGGGGGATAGAAAGAGAGAGGGAATGAGAGCGAAAGTGAGCGCAAGAGCGAGAGAGAGAGAGAGAGGACTTCCATCCTTTAATTCACTCCCCAAATGGCCACAATGGCCAGAGCTGAACCAATCTGAAGACAGGAACAAGGAGTTTCCTCCAGGTCTCCTACATGAGTGCCAGGGCCTTCTTTTTCTGCCTTCAAGGTCCATAGAAAAGAGCTGAATCAGAAATGGGGCAGCTGAGACTTGACCCAGCGCCCATATGGGATGCCAACACTGCAGATGTTGGCACAGATCCCTAAGCCCTATATGCTATTGCTGTATGAAACAACTGACTT